AGCCTTGAAGAGCTACTGGGCCATACTGGGAGGCACTGGGATGCACTGCAGGGACACTGGGACATGCTGGGAAGCACCAAGGAGCAACCGAGCGGATCCCGGGAAGCTCTAAAGGGCTACTGGGCCATACTGGGAAGCTGCAAAGAACTACTGGGCCATACTGGGAGGCCTTGAAAGGCTACTGGGCCATACTGGGAGGCACTGGGATGCACTACAGGGACACTAGGACATCCTGGGAAAGCACCTAAGAGCAACTGAGTGGATCCTGGGAGGTTCTGAAAGGCTACTGGGACGTACTGGGACATCTTGGGAGACCCTGAAGGGCTACTGGTCCATACTGGTGCATAGTGGGAGGGCTTAAAGGGCCTACTGGGTCATACTGGGAAACAATTCACAGCCATTGGGACATCCTGGGAGGCGCCAAGGAGCAACTCGGCGGATTCTGGGAGGTCCTGAAGGGCTACTGGGACGTACTGGGAGGCCCTGAAGGGCTACTGGGCCATACTGGGCCATATCGATCCATACTGGGATGCACTGGGATACAACTCGGGGCCATTGGGACATCCCGGGAGGCGCCTAGGAGCAACTGAGCGGATCCTGGGAGGTTCTGAAGGTCTCCAGGACTGTACTGGGAGGCTCAGAAAGGCTTACTGGTCCATACTGGTCCATACTGGGAGCGTCCCGCTCACCTTCTTGCTTTCCTTGTTCCTCTTGAGGGCCCACCCCCCTTCCGGCAGCTTCTCGAAGTACTTGCGGGCTTTGGGGGCCTGTTCCAGCATGTGGGGGGGCGGCAGCCCCAGCACCTCCACGATCCGGTTCATCTGGTCGGCCTGGGGACAGGCAGGGGACACGGGGGATGTCACCGCTGTCCCCAAGGCCACCCCCGTCCCCAAGGCCACCCCCGCCCCGCCGGTGATGTCCGTGGTGTCCCCGAGACCACCCCGCTGCCTGGTTAACTGGAGAAAAGGGGATATGGCAGGCTTGATACTACGATGGTGTTCCTCCAAAGTGCTCTGGGGACATAAATGTCCCCAAGGCCACCTTGGACTTGTCAGGATGTCCCTGAAGTCCCCAAAGCCACCTTGACCCTGCCAAGAACATCCTTGAGGTCCCCAAGGCCACCTTGGCCCTGTCGAGGACATCCTTGAGGTCCCTAAGGCCACCTTGGTCCTGTTGGGGATGTCCCCAGGGTCCCCAAGGCCACCCTGACCCTGTTGGGGTGATCTCTGGGGTCCCCAAAGCCACCTCAGACCTGCCAGGGACATCATCAATGTCACCGAGGCCACCTTGGTCCTACCAGAGACGTCCCCAGGGTCCCCAAGGCCACCTTGACCCTGTTGGGGACATCTCTGGGGTCCCCAAGGCCACCTTGGCCCTACCAGAGATGTCCCCAGGGTCCCCAAGGCCACTCTGACCCCTGTTGGGGCATCTCTGGGGTCCCCAGGGCCACCTTGGCCCTACCAGGGATGTCCCCAGGGTCCCCAAGGCCACCCTGACCCCACTGGGGACATCTCCGGGGTCCCCAGGGCCACCCAGGGATGTCCCTGGCGGCTCGTCCTGCCTACTCTGGCAAAGCCCCGCCCACTTGAAGCCCCACCCCAAACCAGAAGATCCCACCCCCACTC